CTGTCACATTATTCTTTCAACTTTAGTCGACCAAAGCGCTCAAGCTCATGTCCATACAACCCGCCAATACCAAACATACAAAATTTAAAGCCAAGGGTTTGGGCAGCAACGCAGACTAGTAAATAATGGAAAGCACAGCCATGGAAATCCAACCAATATACTGCATAATATGTGACAACAGGTACACATGGCGTTGGCATGCCCAGAGGAGAATAACTCATACTGAATCGTCGCTGTTAATAAAGACGAAGACAGAGCTTGGCATCAGGAGGAAGCGTAGAAATCCATTCAGTTTTGAGGGCTGTTAGATATGTCTGCATTTTGTTTTTGATGTAATATGTGCCGTTCTTAACGTTGTATTATAATGACGAAGAGGAAAGAGTAAGTGGATAAGCGGTGGACAATACCTATGTGTTCTGCAAGATATCGTAGTAAAATTAATCTCGAATGTAAATTTTCTCTTTTATTTTTCTCGTAGGTGTTAAATCGTACTAAAATAAATTTCGTATGTATACTTTCTCTTTCATTTTTCGCGTACGTGTTTATTTGTTTTTTGAGCAAATAACTTGTGGTCACTTTTTTATCTAGCTCCAGAAATGCACTCTATAAATATAAGTAGGCTGTTTAAGGCAAACGGTGCCGCAGAAGGAACTAATAAAACTATTAAAAGGCTTAATAAATAAAAGGAAATCACCATGAAGACAGAAACCAAAGTAATGAATGGACGATTTTTTCTTATTTTCTTAATGACATTGCTTTAAGGGGTTAATTATCATTTATTTATTTGCTTATTTATTGTTATTATTATCATTACTATATTATTATCGTCATTATCATTATTGTCATTGTTGTTATTACTATTATTATTATCTTTATTATTTGTATTTTTAAAAATTATTTTCCTAGGTGAATGGTTTTCGCCTTAATGTATGTAATAATGAAATTTTTGATAATTGCTACCTAAATTGTCAATAGAAATGTTATTTATAGGTGACACTGAAAAAAAAAATATATGACAGGAAAGAACTTCATAGATCTTTTATTGACTACGGTCCCCTTTTTTGAAGCTTAACTTTCATATGAAAAAAAAAAAAAAAAAAAAAAAAAACATTTGTGTTCTTTTCTCCGACCTGAAAAAAAAGAGGGGGGGGGGGGGGTAAAGCACGAGGCTATGCAGAGAAAAGAAATTGATATTTTTCTTTAAAGATTTGTTTTATTTACTGTTATTTTACAAATTAAGGAAATATATACATTCTTCTCTGAATGATTACTGGAAAATGAACGATTATCCGAAGGGGTAGTTACGGAAGAAAGGTATGGGGGGAGGGGGGGGGGGAGAAAGGAAAAGGGAAAAGAAAGAGCGGGGAAAGAGATAAAGAAAAGGGGGGAAGAGTTTGATGAGAAAAGAGAGATGGTGAAAGGGGAATGGAGGAACAAGGGATCAGAGAGAAAAACGGAATTGGGAGAAGGAAGGAGAGGGAATAGATGGAAGGAAGGAAGGAAGAGGCGGAGGTGAAGGAAGAAGGGAGAGGAGGAAAGTCGGAGGGGGCAGATCGAGAGGGAAATTAGGAAGAAATAA